AAAGAATCATCGTAATAACTTGGCCATTATAGCACCCAGTCTTAAAACGTTATTTTGCTCAAAATAAAAGTCTCAGATGGCTGGAAGTTGTTTTCATGACATGAGTTTCTGTTATAACCAGATTTGTGTCAAGTTATCAAAAATTGCTAAGGTAGGTAGAATTCTTTGGAAAGAAATTAAAATTTTAAGATAAACACAAGAGTAGAGCATATTAAAATCGCCTTTTTGTATTTTTAAGCACTGCAAACACATCAGACAAACTATTAGACTCAGCTGAACATAAGGGAGGGATGGCATGGTGGTGTAGCATTGTCACTTCACAGCAAGAAGGTGCTGGGTTTGGCTGGAGCCTTTCAGTGTTTCTGCATGTTCTCCCTGAGCCTGTTTGGGTTTCCTCTGAGTTTTCTGGTGACCTCCCTCATAGACATGCAAGTTAGGTTCACTGATAAGGAACATAAATAGCTGTCTGTCTCTATGTGTCAGCCCTGTGAGAGACCGGGGTCCTGTCCAGGGTGTATCCCGCCTCTCACTCAGTGTCAATGAAAATGTCCATTTAATCAACGTCATGTTTGATATTTAGATAAATATCATACTATTACACACTGTAGGAGCTGACAGTTTAAACTGCATTAATTTGCCGGCAACATGATGTTGTACTTATACATTTTCCTCCAGTTGAGGGCATTTACATCTCTCAGTAGAGAAGTTCAAGAACTTCAAACTTTTGGCAGCTTTCTACAAAATACATGCCAGAGCTTCCTGTCTCCATGTGTTTCAAACATAAAGTTCTGCATTTAAAGTCAATTCGACACCTCATCTCTGTATGACTCCCCTGCGAAAGCATATGTGATATGAAGCGTCAGAGAAGTTTGAGGTCTTGTCTCATATTTCCCATCGGCTACACTTTCATCCCTCTCTCCGCAGCAGACCACCCCTGGCACCCCTGCCCAAATACAGTGTTCTGCCTTCAATACTCTCCTCTCTGAAGAGTTCAGAATCTGTTGAAACTTTGGATCTCAAACACAAACATCTTTTATTCAAAGGGTGTCTGTAATCACAAATAAATAGCATTTCTGGCGATGGGCACAAGGCACGAGAGAGAGAGAGAGAGAGAGAGAGAGAGAGAGGAGCCTATCTCAGGAGCAGATAACTGGTAGATATGATTCCTTAGATAAGGAGCAGTAATTTGGCTTTTAGAGATAGCTCCAGGGGCTGCTGTGCTGTGCTGCGCTGATTTACTTTGTGTATGGGAGGTTGTTTTTTCCACATTTTTATCTCTCCTGTTGAAGAGCTTTTCATCTCTGATGATTTTCTCTCTCTTTTTTTATGTATTTCCCCCAGAAGGTGAGATCACAAACCCACAGAAGGCAGAGTGGCATGTTTTAAAGTGATGGACAAAATACAAATATTTGAAAATGTATTTCATGGTAATTATGTCAGGTTTCATGGCCTTGGCACAGTACTGAGGCACAGCCTGGATGCCTTAATTTGTATAGAAATTGTAATCATTTGTTCATTTCAAGGTGAAAATTGCATTTTTTAATTTAAATTGTATCCTGCATGATAGGCTATTATCTAGAAAAATTGTCTCTGTGTATGGCGGTCTATGCCCTGGCGTCACGCCTGTTTAAAGCCCACTTCTCCTGAGAAAGGGCTTATATATGAATCTCCTGACTGAATGCACCCAGCTTGTTCTTCACCGAGGGCCGTCAGTGTACTCATTTCCATTTTTGTTATTAATATTAATTAGTTTGAGAGTACAGCTCAGATTTTAAATGTAAATCATGCTTGGCTTCACAGTGATTTTTATCTCACTCTGATTTCTTAGACTTACAACTTTACTGGGACTATTTTCTTCTTCATTGTGTTTTTTTTTTTACATTGCTTTAAGGGAGGTGTACACTGGTGTGTGTCTTTTTGTGCCTGTATATGAACATGTACAGTATATTTGCAATATTAGACAAATAAGTCAAGTCATATCTTGTAAACTAAATATTAACTGGTGAAATGCAACACAGTTAAAATATTTTGCAACTGCACACCTTTCCTGGTAAATTAGACGACTTTAAGCTCCGACAATACCTTATTTGAGTTCCTGCATTTTACTCATACATGACAGATTATCTATCTATACTACCTGAGAGGGGTAACTGTGAAATTCAAAACACCTAAAATGTTCTGAAAATAAGATTTCCTCCCTATGCAAAAGGGACAGGAAGAAGATATATGCACACCAAGCTGTGCGCCTGTGTCTGTGTCAGTGGGATCCTTGAGGTGACGAGCACAAAGCTGAGGCTCAGGTACATGGCGTATGCTGGCATAATTACAGGATTTGAAGGATTATTATACTGTAAGTGCTTTCATGGTGACAGCTGGGAGCTTTTTTACTTCCTGTGACACATAAGCTCAAAGAATAAAACCAAGACCCCCAGAGCATCTCTTAATCATTTCTCAGCATACCTACACACGGTTCTGAACTCCTGTTCTCCAGACACACTTGTAAAATTAGAATATAATTATAATATCTGGTATAAATCATCCTAAAGTCATATTTTCAAGCACGTTTTCTTAAAAAAGGAGACATTCTGGCCTATTTTTCTTCATTGAAGGCCCTCACCGGCTGGTTCTGCTATCTTCTTCAAGGCCTTCCTGACTTTTCAACAGCAGTTTTTTTTTTAACCACAGCATGATCAGATTGAGGTGTCTGGTCCTAAATTAGATCTGAACCAGAGCTTCTATTCCATGGCTCATTCTGAAAGTGAGTATGGCCAGGCTGAGGCTGTGGCTTCTCTATCGCTGCCTCCCAAGTGATAGGGCCTCCTGGTCTCTACTGTGAGGCTCAGGAGTTTCATTTCCATCCCTGTGATCTAAACAAACCCATTACAGCCAGAAATTTATGCACAGGGGCAGTACCCAAGCCCCGGGCCTGAGGACACAGCCCGGAGCTAAGCTACCATGGCACAGAGCCACCATCAATGGCTGTGTGTCCAAATAGACAGGGGAGAGGAGGAACGGAGCGCTTGGGCCTTTGCACTTTATCTAAACCACTCCAGAGGGGCGAGTGGAATCGGCTCTTGTGGGCTCTGTTTACCCTCTGCTCCTGTAGTCAATCAATTAGGGGATCAAAGGAGGAGATGAGGGAAGTGCCACATAGCTCTTCCACACACCCAGTGCCTGAGCTGCCACCTCGTCCACTCTGAGTGACATCAGACTGTAGACAGACAAAATTCCAGGGCCTTCACCTGAGGAGACAAGCTGGAGAAAAGGGGACAGCCATAGTACATGCTAAGGTCTGATCTGGATAAGCACAGACTTATAAAAGAATATATGAAGGATGACACAGCATCGCAAAGAGCCACCTAACAATACATATTAAAGATGACGAGAGGATCTTCTCAAAGTGAACTCATATAGAAAATATGCTTTGGAATTGATTTAGTAATTAACCTTCCTCATTGACATGCTTCTGCAGAACCCACAAACACTGTGTAAATGTGTGTGTGTTTCGTAATTAGATACTAAAGAGGATTTCCATTTGCATCAGTTTAACTGAGCCTTGATGATATAATGTGGTGATAACACTGCAGTTTGTAGTTGATTTGAATCTGTAAGTCTAAACAGAATACTAACATTCTGCATCTATTTATACTCACTGAGCTGTTCAAATCTCTCAAATATTTAACAGAGTATGAAATATGAACAATAGTTAGCTCACAATAACAGTCTAAGTAGAAGTTTTTCAGATCAGTACTTACTTTTTTTAGCATCACATTCATCTCCAAATGCAATTTGATGTGAAAGATGTCAATAACTGTGATTAGTGATGCCTTTAATTAGTTAAATTTATTGGTTATTATGTATTTTGTGGTATATAAAATGTAAATACATCTCACTGCACAACTTGGCATGCTTTGCAGTGTTTATGAATTTACACAAAATGATGTATAGACATTTGATAGCTGCAGTGACTGCACACATAGCCAAAATGTTTGAAATCAGTCAGGTCTGAGTGAACATACCCAAGTCATGTTTGACATACCTCAAGCAGTGCTGATGGGAAAAACTGAATGAGCTCTACTATTCTGACATGTAATATAAAGCTTTGTGACCACACTGGTTATTTCCCCTGCATTCATACCATACCACAGAGATTTGCAGACAACATTCCCCAACCAGCAGAGAGAGAAGAGAGCACTTCTGGTCTGTGTGCAGAATGAATGACTTTCTACAGCTGCAGCTAGAAGCACAATCAGTCTCTGAGTCTGTTATGTCTGAGCTCTCAGGCCCTAATCACATCACCAGCACTTAACAGTCACTGCTGGCTCCATTAAGGTAGTTGAACACACCTGGAGGACAGATACACATGCACAGGCCACATGCAGTATACAGTATGCACAAGTGTATTCATTAACTGGGACTGCAACTAACAATTATTTTCATTATTGATTAATCTGCTGCTTTTTTGATTAATCAAATATTTCACTCTATTTAAATTTTAAAATCACCTGGAGCCCAAGGTGATGTCTGAAGAACAATACAAAATGTTAAGATTATCAAGTCAAGTCAGTTTTTCTTTATATAACCCCAAAACACAAATCATAAATTTGTCTCAAGTGGCTTTACAGTTACATCTTAGGACACCATTTATCCTTAAACCCTGAAACTGGATTAAAAAAAAACTCCCTAAAAAACCTTTAAACAAACAAACAAAGCCAAAATTTTTGGTTTACATTTACATAAAACAATGGAAGGTGGCAACTTCTCACATTTGAGAAGCTGAAAACCAGAGAATGTGTGGCATTTTTGGTCAATGAATGACTTAAACAAATAATCAATTATCAAAACAGCTGTAGATTAATTTTCTGCCAGCACTACTTTATGCATGCATACATAGTAGTACAGCAAAAAAACCACTGACTGTGATAAAAATATGCAAAACAGCCAATGTGCAGTTAAAAAAAACAGACAGATGGCAGAAATCAGTTCTGGATCTTTAATTGATAACAGTTACGCCAGTGTTACAGTAAACACACCAACAGGCTGAAGGTAGTAAATACCAATACAAGTTTCCCACTAGTCTAATACTTCATACAGCAGAATAAATTATACCATGATAATATACACACATGCGGAACAGAAAAAGGAATAAAGCAAAGCACAGATGTCAGAAAGCAACTAAACAGGTTAAAGGTTCAACAGACGGGTGGAGGATAAGGAGCTGTGTGCTTTAAATATCCAAATGCTTATTGATGCAAGTGTTAGAAATGGGTTTGATACACTAAAGACAATCCTAAAATTCTTCCTTTTTAAAATATACACGAGTGAGGCATCTAAGCAGAGCAGCAGCTGGAGCTGCTGTGATTCAGTGTGGAGTCAGCGTTGCTTTGACTTTTTCTCCTGAAGTCTTATTGGTCCACAAATCAAACATGACTTGATTCAGTTTCCCAGAGCAGAGAGGCTGTTTTTACCAGCTTCATTAACACGATGAACCGTTGACAGAGTTCCACACTGAAGGCTCAGGAGTTCAGGTGTGTTAGGTCCGTGGTCCAGTCAAGTCTGGTCTGCGCTAATAATCAGTCTGTAAGACCAGGTTGTCAGAAACACCCTCAGAATACTCTGACACATGATGATGTTTCATCCAGCCACATTTTCATATATACAGTGGTCCTATGGTCCAAGTAGTCTGTCATCAAGCTTTCATTTTTCGTTGAGCTCAGTTTGATCCTTTATTTTTTTTTTTTACTATTTTAATTGCAACATTTTAAAAGAATTTATATGTTGCTAGCTTAGACAAATTCATTCTTACCTGGGCCCAAACCAGAAACAAAACTGTTCGTCAAACAGATAAACCAATTAAATACAGTTAAAACAAAACCAACAGAAAACAAGCCAGTTAAGGAAATTCAAATCAAACATTTACTTCGACAGATCCCCTGCTTACCTACCACGCAACATAGTTGTTTTAGTATAAAACATATTCTTTATAAACAAACAATACACAGTCTGCTCCAGCTACTGAACTGTACAGTTTTCAGTTTATAAAGGCGACTAAGGACCAAATTTTGTCTTGAGATAAAGTTAACAGTTCTGTGTATATCATTAATATCACAATGATGCCAATCTCAAGGGAACAGCTGGTCCTGGCCTGTGTCAAAAGTCAACTATGAGTGCTATACAAATGTCTCATATGTACTATTCTTTAAACTTTTTTCTTCTTTTTGTACATTTCAGTGAGTACGTCAAAGTGGAGCAGTAGACAAAGCTCCAGTCTTAACCAGAGAAGGGGTCAAACAGTGGCGTCACCTGTCCACTTTCATGACCAGCTGGATTATATGGTTTTTGCATGTGAATGACGCATCTTGGGTACTTTGCAGTCTCATGACAGAAAGCACTGGAATGCTTATAGTATAGCTGGAAATGGAGATTGAGGAATGCTTTGACGGAGTGCTTATTTAGTCTGAAAATTGAGTGAAAGTGCGTTTAAAAAAATGTGCTAATTACTCTAAAAAACTGAAATAGTGGCTAGTAATGTGAAGGGTCACTGTGAATTAGCTTTCACATTATATGTGTGTGTGATTTAATCTGCTCCACACTGTTTAATTCACACAGGATTCCCTGGCAGGAGTGGATGCAGAGGGGTGGGGGCACTAGCTGAGTTAGCCCTCCTTGGCAAGGTCCATATTTCTAAACAAAATACATTAATTTCCCCAATCATGTTTTTGCAAACAATGCCTCTCTCCCCATGGACCGTGGCCTAGGATAGGATGGAGGTTAGAAGGGGAAAGCTATCGGCTGCCAAAATGCTGCTTAAATTCCCTGCAGAATCCATCCAGTCAGACTTCCCACAGAGTGGCCAAGTTCTTTAGGAATGTCAAGATGAGTATAGAAGTGAGAAGGTCAAACCGCTCACCAACATTAGAGCTCAGGGAACAGGCAGAGGAACAGCAGCTTGGAAAACAATCATCCTCTCTTGTGTGCCGACACGCAAACATGCACACGCGAGAGACGCTTATTCCCAAATTGACTCAGTCATCCACTGTGTTTTACACACCAGCATCTAACAGAGAAAAGAGATATGTATGGAATCAAAGAACAACGTAAATCACATTAACCATAATCATATAACAGCAACAATAATATTAACAATATCAAAAAGGAACAAGAATAAGACTCGCTCAAATGATATTGGTTTTTTTAACTACTATGAACAGCAAGGTTAAAGTACATGTAGTTGATGGCCCGGAACGAGTGCTGGACTGCAGTCGTGACAAAATGAAACCGTTCTCAGGTCAGCAGGGGTTCGTTTGGGCCCTCTGAACAAAATAAAACAGGGTTTGGGGATGGAGTTTGTGGAACAGGCAGAGGTGCCCAGAGATTGCAAAGAGAGGGTGCAGAGCCGTCTGGTGGTAACAGTGATGTGAAATGTTTAGTTCCATTCCCGGAAGAGCCTTGTCACACCCGCAAGCGTCACTTTCCCCGGTGCACCTCAAGGGTGCGTATCTGTGCGCTGATGTCATGGCCAGGCTGAGGAGTGAGCGGCACTCAGGCGAGCTAGAGTTGGAGTCCAGACTTGATGAAGCATGGAAGAAGGTGGCAGAGAGTGAGGTGAGAGCCCCAGGGTGTGTGTCCCCAGGGCTTTAGTAGGCCTGTCCCGTCTCCACCTGCAGCAGTCCCAGCACAGCAGAGTGGTCTCCAAGTTTCATCCTCCTCTGGGTGGACAAGCTCACATTCTTAGCCAGGTAGTCTACAGCAGCTACAGAGAAACAAAGAGAAAAAGCATACATCAGACAGGTGGTAGATTCCTCAGACACGTGTCCCATTCACTCTCATTTCATTCTTCTGATTGAGGCTGAAATAAGTTGTGGCAGAAGTGAGTGAGTCAATTAAAGAACAATTCAATGAGAGAGAAAGATGAAAAACCCCTTCCCTGTCCCTTGTCTGAGGTTGGCATGTTGCTGGCATGGAGCATGTGCATCCTGGTAAAGTCTCCATGCTGTCACTCAGATGGGTCCCCATGTGTGTTCTATGTGCCAGTCTTCATTACACTTGGCATCTCTGATTTCATGCCCTCCACACTCCACATGGCCGATCATTTTCATCCTCCGACAGCAGCTCTCTCCTCTCTCCTCCATTCATTACCCATCGACTGTGCTCAATCACCATCTTAATTAACCTCACATCAGCTCACATCTGCACTGCCATCAGTTTCTTGCTGCTGACAAAACACCAGTACGCACACACAAAATGTGACAGACTGGCACGCGCTTGTGTGCGTTCATGCACGACAACACAAACATGTAAAAAAAAAATTAAACAAACAAAACAAAAAGAAAAAAACCCAGCGGATGCACAATACACTAGATCACTACTGGAACCTGCATATAAACACAAACAAATGTTGGCGAGCTGGCGCTGGCTGACTCGTTGGGGGAATGTGCTTCATTTTACCTCTTATGAATGGCTGTGACAGCATCAGTCACTTATGCTAATCTAATAAAGCAAACTCTTTCCTGCCCCGGGGGTGTGTTTATGTGTGTGTGATGGAAATAAGAGAAAGAAGGAGAAGAAGAGGTGGGCAAGAGGACAATGTGGCCCCTGAGGGTGTGCCGTTCTTTGAAGTGGCCCTCTCCTCTTTCCCATCCAAGTAGAGTGGGGTGTTATTAACGCAGCTCTCTATGAGGATGGTGGTGGTGTTTGTGGTAGTGATGGTGTTGGGGAGGGGTCTTTATCAAGAGCACGTGTCTGCCTCCAACAGTCAGAGTGCAAAGGTCGGGGGGGCTCTCTTGCCTGTGCATCATTTTTAAACTGAGTCAACTTAAGAGGACGATAGAAATATATCATCTGCTCTCATTTGACACAACAAGAAAAAACACTCACTTACTTATGCAGCCTTAACTAAACACAAACATATAACGTATAAAATGTTAATGCAGGGTTTACTTACTCTGGCCATACTGGCTGTACTGGTAGCCTGCAGTGACAGGGTCTACGCTGTAGCTGGTGGCGCTGTAGGTGGGGGGGCAGTATGACTGCGAGGATGCCAGGCTGTCCACACTCTTGATGGTGTCAGAACGCTGACTGCAGCTGGCCGAGATGGAGTTGGAGCTCTCCAGGCTGCTGTGTAGGGGGGAAATGGAAAAGTCGTGCTGGGGCTGGGAGGGTACAGCGCTGGGGTTACTCAGGATACTCATCACCTGGGGGAAAGGGGGAACGGAGGATGTTAGACATTTGGAAAATTCAGGATCAAAGGATTGACAGAGTTGAGGAAAAGTACTTTTTTCCCTGCAAATATAGTGCCATCCTAGCACTTCACGGTAAAGATGCCAGTAGAAATATATCATTTCAACTCTGAAATAGAGAAAGCGAAAAACTTCCTCATATTCCTTTTTTTGTAAGCAGAGGGAAGGATACAAGGAGGGTGATGAGGTTAAAAAAAGGAGAAAGGGAACAAGAGACACTGTTTCCATTATCTGGCACTGCCACTAAGTGTTCTACTGTGGGACAGAAGGGTCCCAGGGTGATAATAGATCCACCATCCGTGCCAGACAGCTCCTGTCCTGGAGCCTGAGGCCTGAGCCCAAGCCTACAGCGCAACAAGCACCAAGGGAGTCCCTAATCCCTCGCCCCTAGCCTACCCATCTCATGAATAGTAATGGTGTTGGAAATGGTAAATGATCCCCTCAGATCCCCACACAATGTAGGCTCCACAAACCTTGCTGAGAGGCCTGCTGATACTACACATTGGGACTCACCTGAATATTACAGTGTGTATATTATGTGTGTCCATAAAGGCTTCCAATTCGGTATTCTAGATTGATGTAATAGCGTGTGACATTTGTCAGAGGAAGCTCTCAAAATATGTTAAAATGGATGAGATTACCTCTAGTGCTACTTTAGTCTAAGGCCCGGTGCCCCAGAACATTGTGAGGAATTTTGTTTTCTTATGCTGCTGGTTTCTTTAAGTGCAAAAGGCAAAGTGGAGTGTGTGCGTGCATGTATATGTGTGCGAGTGGGAGCGGGTGGTAAAAAGACAACTGTCCCACACATAATTCCCTCCTATACCAGGGAAGTCTTTCCAACATCAGGTTCATGTTGAGTTTTGCTATGCTGCACTGGCCTTTGGCCCCTGCTGCTGCTAAACCAATTAGCTCATTATGGAGGTGGTTACACAGGGTGATACACAAGCAGACATATGTTTGCATGCATGCACACACATGCAATACCATGAAGGCAATGCAGTGCCAGGGCAAACAAATAATGCACTAAGCCAGGAATATCCCACAGAGGAAAAATCCACCAGATTCTGCAAATTACTCATGTTTTCAGAAAAGGCCTCCCAGGAAATATGAAGCACTCGAAGCACACCAGAAACACAAAGGCTGTTTAGTCATTTCCACATGTTAATCCGATCAGTATGGAAACCTCCACCGTCCCCTCCACATCTGTGGACAAAGCATGTGACATGTATCCATAAGAGGGAGATTCATAGCCCTCTTCATGCTGGACACACGTGATGCTCCCTGCCATATGGAGCCAAGCTGCAGACACTGAGGAAGATGAGAGAAGTGAAGTGAAGTGAACGTTTTGATGGTTTGTGATGGGTGAAAGTGAAAGGGGGAGCTTGTTCTGTGTCCCGAGAGAGACAGCTACAGGGCAGAAAGTCCATTTTAGTCACTGGTTAATTGAAGCTTGATTACATCACGTTCTTATGAAATAGAATAGCTAACAATTGGCTTGATTATTATTCATGCTTATAAAAGTTCTTCAAAAGAAAATTACTTCTTATCGTTGACTTTGTCACAGTTTTACTATTTTAGTGAATTAGGATGGGTTGGTCACTGACAAGTGGTGACATCTGTGAGGATGTAGCTATCCTTCAGACGTCCCCCCCCCACCCCTCCCCTTTTGCCAGAGGGGAAAAGGTAAGCTCTTCTGGAGAAATAAGGTTTTCATTAGCTGTGTGTCAGATGTATTCAGTGCCCACACTGCTCAGTAAAAATCAATGCAGTTTCACCAAACCATGCTCACAGTCTGATAAAGGTACAGATAGAGGTGAACTCATCTATCAGGCCCCAAGTCAGACTGGGTTGGAGTCAAATTAAAGGTGGTTTGTACTGGACTAGGTTATATTATATATGCATGAACAGGTGTCTATATATTTTTGTCCTCCAGGATACATGAGAGGATCAGATTATTAGGAACACCTCTGAATATAATATAGTCCAGAATTGAATTCATACATTTATGACAATTTCACCTACTGAAACATTTTGAGCTTCATAAACACAGATGTTAAGGTGGAAGTGTTGCAATGAGGTGCATAAAATTGTACTGGTGTGACTATTAAAGTAGTTGGGTGGTGTAATGTAGCGCATGTTATCCATAGGTCAATTTTAATTGCCGGGCTTTGCTACTTTAAGGTGGTTTCATTTAACTTTTAAGTGTTAAATGATATTTAGTCACATAAGCTTGTAAAAAAAAAAAAAAGCGACTTGATAGCTTTATATACTTCTGTTGTAACATGCTATGTAAAACTACACTTTGGAGAAATTCAAGTATAGTATTCCTG